GGTACATAAACCTGAACCAGATCAAGGTAAATCATAGCAAACTGACTACGTAACAGGCGCTCTTCTTCACTTGGACCTTCCTCTGCCAATCATCTGCCACCAGCCAACCATGCAGGAACATTCAGGGCAGGGCAGTTTGAATTTCTAGAATTGTTTCACATCGACTGTTGGAGAAAAAAATGAATTACTGACCGTAAAAGAATACTTATGATTCTAACTGATCACTGATGACCAATGTATAGTTTTTGTGCTGTTTTCCAACCTATTTTGCTGTTATTGTCTCTTTGTATTCTTCTTCTTCTTCTTCTTCTTCTTCTTCTTCTTCTTCTTCTTCTTCTTCTTCTTCTTCTTAATTATTATTATTATTATTATTATTATTATCTTTGTCGTTTGAGTCTATTTATATTGGGCCAGTCTAAAGTTAACAGCAGTTTATGAATGGGGGATGCTTACTATTTAAATTGATATTGAAATCAACAGGAAAATAATAAATACATCCAATACATTCAAACAGAATTCAGATCTGTTTATTTATTTTTATTCTTAATGTTTATTTTAATAAATAAAACAACAACAACAATAACAATAATAAGAGCGCTTCAGCTATTATATTTTGAAAATCCGGACAGGATGTGGTTGCTGCGTTCGTTCCGGCAGCTCGACAGCTGGCTCGAGCAGGAGTTGTTCGGTTGATGGACCGCATTTTCCTGCGGAGGATATTTCACTGAAGCGGGAGTCAGCACCGGACTGAAGCCGCCCCGCATCGCTCACGGTCCAGCCATGGATGAGCAGGCGGGCCCCGGTGTCTTCTTCAACACCAGCGGCAGCTCGGGCTTACCCGGCGCGGGGAACGTTAAAGCTCCGCAGCCCGGGGACGGCGGCGGAGAGGCGGCACGGGCTCAGTACAGCATCCCGGGGATTTTACACTTTCTCCAGCATGAGTGGGCCCGCTTCGAGGTGGAGAGGGCCCAGTGGGAGGTGGAGCGGGCCGAGCTGCAGGTAAGCAGCCTCTCGGTCGCAAGGGGTTTCATTGTTGAGGTTGCTAGCAGAACGGAGAGGCGCTGTACCGAAGTCCATTGGAGAATGTGGAAATTGTTCTTAAAATCGATTATCGGTGAATACATCGTCAGAGTAAAGTAAAAGTTGTAGTTTACTTTGATAGAAAGTGTTTTTCGCTTAATTCGGCATAGGTTTAAGCAAATAAAACGTATGTTTTTGTGTAATGTTTTTAACTTTTTGGAGGCTAGGTGCAGTTTGCATGTGCCTTGTCGCGCACGGGGCTCAGTACGCAGAATGACGCACATTCATTAAGTAACATAATGTTATGTGTTTGTAAGCGCTTCTTCTCTAATCGTGTTATCGCCGAATTCACGCTCTGATTCCAGTGTTTCTAGATGCGGTGCTCGGTACTGGTTTTACTGTTCGTTTCCCAATGTCAAGCGGGATGTGCGAGAATTGCGTAATATTTAAATGGCAGTTTCGCCTTATGCTGTATTCGCTGCGCTCTCTGCTAAGCAGGCTAGCTGCGGGTGACATTTCAGTCATTCCAGCCGGCTCTGTGTGGGTGTGAGCAGCTACCTGTCATGCAAGCTTACGTGTGTACTAAAAGTCCGCAGCCAGGTCACCTGAGACGTGCCAAGTTTACCTGAGCGGGGCAAACGTGCACGTAGAGCCGTGCTTGCTTTTGTTTGTGGGTTGTTGTTTTTTGGTTGGTTACCGGAATCGGTTAGTTTCCCAAACCGCCCCAGGAGGGCTTTGTCCCACAAAGATCAGTGTGTGTTCAGTTAAACGTGTCCGATAATGGATGCATACCGATAATGGGCGCGTGCACGCTGCGTGATCCCGTCCAGTCACGAAACGTTTGAGTGCAGATTTAAAAGCTGTAACCTTAAACCGAGACCCTGCCGGTGTTTTCCTCTCAGTGTGGAGCAGAGCCTCCGTGGGACAGCATGCAGGGCTCTTTATCCTGCTTTAAAAGAGGGAGGTCTGCATACGTACAGTCAGAGGTCATGTTCAAAAATGAATTCAACACATCTGCAGTGGCAAAGTGAGTCAAAGCATTTAAAAGGCAACAAAAACATTTTCACTTTAAACTGTTCAGTAGTGTCCGTGCTGCAGGAGTTCTTGGTGCTCTCGGAGTTGAAGAGCAGAGAGTCAGAACATCATAGCGCTGCTTTCTGATGACAGATTTAGTTTATTTTGACAATTTAAACACAAACAAAAAAACAAACATCCCTTTTAATTAAAGTTTGAGCCACTTAGCGACAGGCGGCAGATTATTGGTGTCCACTGCCTCTTCAGTTTATTATCCTGTGGAAAATAAAATGGCTCATATACCTCCCATTATTCCGGATCACTGACACTAAACATGTTTTTAATAACAGACAAACGTAGCCTGTGACGCTCAGCTCTTTGCTTGTTTCTGAGAGTCATCCTACAAAACCAGTTGGGTTAGCGTCATTAGCACAGTCCTTCTTTTCACTCAGTCAGGGGTGAAGTTTTGAATCCAGACTCAGAGACGTCCTCCACTCCCTGTAGGACCAGCGAGGTCAGAGCTGTGTCTGCAGACGTGGAGGTGAAAAGAAGCCTCCTGTTGGGCTTCCTGCTTTCACTGCTCACAGATCAGATCCAACAATCGTAACGGCGCAAAGGTCGGCTGCCTCCCTGCGAGTGCCTCGTGTGTCTGGGGTCAGTCCCACCTGTCCTCGCTGAGCACCGTCATGGTCACAGTGCTGAATGATATCAGGGCCCGCCTTCATGCAAAGTATAAATTTGAAAGAAATGAATGGTTGATGCAACGACCCAGCGTGTAGCCCCTTCTGTAGGAGGGATAACCTGCAGTGATGTTTCCTGCGTGACCTCATCAATCGGTCTCATCCCTGTGGAGGATGGACAGACGCTGACTCTACGTTACGTCGTAGAGGAGCTCGTGGTCCTTTGACTGTAAGCGCCGATCTGCTACTTGTTTACATGACCTGTTTACATGACTGTGTGCTCACCTTGGTATTTTTGGTTGTAATTTATGTTTACTGTAATGGACGCACAAGTAGTAGAAGAAGAACGCATCTCTAACTTTTGTTCTGTTGGAGTAAAGTTTTCATTTCCTGTTTCTGGGGTGAATTCCTCGGTGCAGGGGTGACTGATGCTTCTGATGAAATAACAAACGCCAAAACGATCGATGCCATCATATTTAATGGCTGAAATCTCTTCGTTTGCACTTCCAGCAGATGTTTTGTTGCAGCGTTATAAAATCAGAGTGTATCGATCCCTGCTGTGCATGTGTGGTGCAGGTGAGCGTTTCCTCCTGTGAAGGATGCCGGGCAGTGAGTCAGACGATCTCACGGCGCGTGGGACGCTTCACGCTCATGTCTTACATAAGCTCGAGTCATCGTCGGCCGAGCTTCGCTGACAGCCAGCCCGTAAAGGAATCACTTCCTGTGTGGCGGCTCAGCTGGTGCACCATTTAACCCCCCCCCCGTCCCCGGCCCAATCAGATAGCAGGCGTCTCTTTGTGTCTCTCAGCTGTCTGAGTGGCTTTGATGATAAAGACCTGGAGGGGGTTGGAGGGGGGTGACGATTGGAGCGGGACGGCGCTGGCTGGCCGACAAGGCCGGAGACCAATTTGAGCCGTAAATCCATCTGTTCTGGTGCAGACGGGCTGCATGTCATCACGGGCTGAGACGGAGCGTGAGTGTCACTTCCTCTGAGGTAATCCTCCGCAGGGGAGAGGAAGAGGAGGAAGAGGAAGCTGGCACACAAGAACAGGAGAGATTACTCACAGTCTATTGTCCACAAACAAAGAGACAGGGCTGGAAGCTCTGAGCGACCAAGTCTGATTCCCCGTTTCTCGTGTGCGAGTTCACGACACCAGTAAAGACCAGTTAGGCAGGAGCGGTCATCAAAGACGGCGTCTGCA